AATTCTGTTGAGCCGACTTCATTATTTTTAATGGCAAGAAGGCAGCAAAGGAGGGCAAATCATAAATATTTTCCATAGCAACTCACTGATTCGGAAGCAATAGAAAGGGTTTGGTTTTTACCTGCATGGCAATGGTTTTGTACAAAGAATATGTTCAACAAAGCACTTCTGTTCTGCTCCCAACTCTTGTAAACTGTCTTTGTCTTCTTCATCTACAAAGAGATTGGTCACAATGCATGAGATTCACTTTGCAGGGTAAGGGATTCTCAGTATTGCTCACATCCACCAACTTGTTACTAGCAAAATGTAGGTGTTCAGATAGTAATCTCTTCCCTCTACATGCAACAGAGTCTCGCCACTCACCCGAACCAAGGAATTTGTGCAGTTTATTGATCCACGTCAACCCCACGCTATGGACACCAGCTTCGTGTGTGCAGTGGTATCGAGAGGGACATTTCGGATCTGAAATTTAAACAGCAACTGTAGGAGAAGGCACCGAACTGAGAAAAACTCATCCTTCAAACCTGCACTGTTGAACGTGTATCAACTTATTGTCCACTCGGCATTAACATCTTGTTGCAAGTACTAACGCATCCCCATCCAAAAATTGAGTCAGGTGCGTTAGCCACGTTATTAGAGTTCTGCATAAACTTTAATTACGCTTGAAATACCTGATGAATTGTTTTGAACTACTCCTATCACACCACATCTGTATCAATCCACTAGATTTTAAAGGGAAGATCAGTTAAAGCCAGCAGAGCAGCATTCTGACAAGCTTCTTGTTCAGAAAGACCCAAACACTTTGTCCTACCCAACCTCCTGCCCCACAACTACATCGGATACTCTAATAAGCAGATACCAGTTCTTCCTTCAGGATGACCATCCCCACAGCACTTGCTTACATACGTTGGTCATCACAGATGCAACAACTTTCCACAGCTGAAAGAATTTAGTGTTACGTGACCACACATAACCTGCTCTCGAGTAAACACTAAAGCACCGCCCAGGCTTGCTCTTTCCACAGCTTTATTGAAGACATCAGGCAAATCCTTATTCTGATACCGCTCTTTGACGCCAATGAAAATTTGTAAATAGCTCAATCCTAAATTCGTGAGGTAAAGCAAGTAAAGGCCAACAACTTGAATGACAGCCCTACCTCGATGCAATTTGATTGGGCAAGAGAAATCAGACTCCAAAGGCTCTTCTTCATCTCCTGATGCCAGTTTCAGTGCAAGTTCCAGCTCAACACATTCAAACACATACAGGGAAGGAATAAGATCAGATCTTGGGTCCCATGACTTTTCTGACTGTAAAGAGCATTGAATTCTTCTGTCAGACATCATTTAAATAGACATGCCAACACAAACAACGTCAAGAAAGAGTTACATAACATAGGCAAGAGTATTAACCATTAGGGGAAGTAGTTCAAGTCTCTTTATTTTTTTACTTAAAAATAAGTTTCTCTCAGAAACACGGTTTCTTCTTGGAAGATCCTCTTTAAAATAGTTCATAGTAAGTTTGGTCAAAAACTGATATACCTGCAGGATACACAGAACTGACATGTAAAACAAAATCACCAGAGAATCACAGGGACTGGCTGGAATAGAAGGAAGACTCGCTGCCTCATTATAAAAGAATGCAGCTTTGGCACTCGGCATTCACTTCCGGGCATCCTGCCATCTCGCAGCCAGGAACTTCGACCAAAGAAACAAAAACACTTATAGAAAAAAAACCAAGACGAGGTACCTGCTCATCATCCTCTTCCCCATCCAGTACCACGCAGTGATAAAGCATTCCCGACTCGGTGGCAATCACCAGGATGTTTGGAACACAAGGCAGGCAAAGGACAGCACAGGCATCATAGCCGTAGTTGTCTTCCGCAGCAGGGTGCATGGGCAGAGGGCCAAGCAGCTTGCCAAGGTTTCCAGTGCTGGAATAAAGCAGATGTGTTCACAACGCAAGGTGTGGAAGGAGCGTTCCCCGCGGCTGCCAGCGGGAGTTTGTTGGACAATAACTACAAAATAAAGATGGCTAAAAACACCCACCCAAAACCCGATGGTTTGGAGTTCTGTTTAATTTCCATTAGATAGTAGCAACCCAGACTTCTGCAGATTAAGTCTCTGCACTAACACCTACTTGGTGGAGATCTCACAAAAGAAATTGGAGCTCAGTAATAAGGTTTTATGCTTTGAAAGCAACCAAGCTACATTTCAACCAATTCAAGAGGAAACGTTTTCATACAAGAACACAAAGTACTCACAGAAAGCTCAAACTAATTATCTTTATCACTTAATTGTTTTCTTGCTTAATAAAGCACTTTACAAGCAGCATTTTGTGGCCTGGCATTTCTCTAGGTAGAACTTTTGAAGGACTAAGCCTATTTCATTGCCTACAGACAGGATCTGCTCAAAGCTGCATCATTTCTCATGCAAACAGCGCTGTTTCTAACCTAAATACCACACGTTTCAATACGCAGTTATACTAGATCTAACTCGTAAGTTTTCCACCATCTTCCCAGTTTTCTGAAGTTATTTTTTCTTGTATTGTGTTTATATTCTTGATTCGTATTCTTGACCTTTCATTATGGAACATGCCTGCAAACCCTCTATGACCTTAAAATATTTCTGTTCCTAAGATGCCACTGGCTCTTTCAGCCTCACCCAAAGCTAAGAATGTCTGCGCTGTGAACTGAAGGCCCCAAAATACACCTAGGAAACAGCCTTAGACCCACCGATCTTTTAACAGTCCAGTGTCTTCACTTCAAATTTCTGATTGTAAACAATGGACAGTGGATTCTCAGCAGTGCAAACTGCGCCCTTAACGTCTGGATGAAAAAGGATGACACACTATTCTTGGATTTCAGTCTATCACTACTGCCACAAAGAGCTAAAACAGGCTGCAATACAGTAAAACTCAGCCCAGCCTCCATTACAGAGTCCCAGCCAAACTGAGAGGTTGCTCTCCAACCCTAACATTGTACAAACATACAAGCGCCCCACGAAACCCGAGGATGAATGCAAGCCTACCTCTGTAGCAGGCTGATATATGTGAGGAACGTCTCTCCATTTTCATATAAAATGTAAAGCGGGTAGGCCAACACTTCTTCACTCCCGCGCTGTCCAAGAATGTTCTTTGGGACCGGCACTAGCGGGCCGAAGTCAAACGCCACCGCAGTCTCTCCCAGCGATGCTGTGTAGGCTCTCCTAGGGACAAGTCAGAACAAGATCTGAAGTCAGCAGCGATTGTGACAACACCCGTGTTGTTTAACTAGGTCCATCGGTATGTGCTGACAAGTTACTGCTAAACACCCGTCCCATCAGTCCTTCGACATACGCTATTTTCAGCAGCAAAAGCATGCACGTAACATCCTTCTTACGGCGCCTCATTTCTGCAATACACCCGCCAGCCAGCCCAGTTTCACAGGATAAAAGAGGCGGGTGTACTGGTGTTCCCTGTGTAGTGCCTCAGTCTGTGACCTGACTAGGAGAGACCCCCAAGTTTTCCCTTTCCGACTAGGCTAAGAGGGAAATAAAAAGATGATCTATTTTCTGCATTCCCCACTCAAAGAGCCCTTCTTAACCCCATCTTAAAGACAATGTGTATTTTTCAAACAACTGCTCTGACAAACACTTGACTGTACAGTTTGTTACCACTTTCTTTTAGAAGGATGGGAAAAAAAGAAAAAAAAAAAAAA